GTTGGTAGCCATTTGCAACCGTGTAGTTAGTCAAACACTGCTTTAATTGACTAGGATTCTCATACCTCTCACCAAGTCTGGGCTTCATCAGCTTCCAAGGAATATTAGTATCATGTATCGGGTATTGAACACCTTTTTGTATAATATGATCTCCAACATTATCATCATCTTCATCCACATTAAACTCAACATTGTTAATCGTGTTTACAATACAAAGCTTATTTAGAAACTGATCATCAACTGTTTTATTTAAGTTGATTATATCATCATCATCTTCAAGGTCTAGAGATAAAGAATCTGACATATGTTCACTTGAATTATCGTCTATTTCATAACTAGGATCATCACTATCATCACTATAATCACCATCGCAATCAGATATCATTCTGTAAACAAAAATAACAATTTCATCACGATTCACGGATGAAAACATAAAAATTTAGGACGAGAGAAATTAGTGGAGAAGGATGTATTGGTAAGTGCCTGTATATACTATATATAGATGTATGTGTGTGTGCGTATATATACTATTACGATGACTACAATAATATCATAGTATATTATCTTGATACAATCATAACACCAAAAATCTCTTATTGATACAACCTCCTAATCTTGTTTGATTTGCACATGGCTTGTGATAGTTTCATTTTTCTTTTCTTGACCATTTTATCTTGACTGGAGGCGTTCTAGTGCAGAAGACAGTTATGAAATGATCTGAATTAAATTGAAAAGGATGAGGTGGTTGTTTGTTTTGTTGGGATATTTAAGCGTATCCCTTTTCAGGTCTAAGCTGTTGATGAACTTACTTGACAGAGTGTAAAAAGTTAATAAGCATTGCAGATGCATTCCCGAAGTAAGAACTGAGGATTGTTTAATGTTGCCAAATGCACCTTACTTTTAGCGGGGACGTTAGTAAGCATAGTATGTTRCTCTTGCTAGAACCATTAGCTATAAAGTAAGGGGAAACTAGGAATATTGCAATGGTCGGAAATAGAAACAATCATCTTTCTCGGAAAAAGATCAAACATGAAAAATGCGTATTTGACTTTGTAAATCAAGGGAGTTCAAATTGAAGTAATGGTGTAAGAGTTGCAAGGGTCATTGATTCAGGTTTTATTTGTGTTGGAAAGTTAGTTTGACTTTGATTCTTCTTAATGTGACACTGAAAGCAAAACTCACTTTTGGAAGTTACATGGGGTAATATGGGTTAGGCATCTTCTTCTACCCCTATGGCGAATAATTGGCATATAGAGGTGAAATTTGACTGATCTATGTGGTTCATCTAACAAAAGTATTTGATAGTGGACTTAAAAGTCTTCATGTGGCTAATATTAGAGGTGAGCATAGACGGGTACCCGCCCTTTTTGACAGGAACCGGAACCAGAACTGGGGGTTCTTGAGATATTGGAACCGGAACCGGAACCGGTTAGAGCGGTTCTTAAATTTTTGGAACCGGAACCGCCGGGAACCGGTTCCGGTTCCGGGTAYCCGCTTYCKAAAATATTAAAAWTTTGTTATTTAGAAATAAAAAATAAAACATTGCCAAAACACTAAATAAATAAGCAAGAATACAAATTATACAGAATAATGGTTACAAATATTGATTAATGATTACAAATCATAATAGACTAATATAAAATGTCCAAAGTTTAACGATTACATACTATAATAGTAATTGTTCAAAGTTTAACGATTACATACTATGAATCCAAGTGAACACACAATTTGAAAAAATACGAATCATTTTATATGAAGAATTTAGATGAAAATTGAAGATGACGACGTGCTTTTAAGATGTAAACCTAATATAAATTTGGTATAAAAAAATTATTTTTTTTTTATTGAAAAATACCGGGTACCCGGCGGGTAACGGTTCCGAAAAATCGAGAACCGGAACCGGAACCAGAACCATTCTCAATCGGTTCCGTATTTTAGGAACCAGAACAGGAACCACTCATATCGGTTTCGGTTCTGGAACCGGCGGTTCCAAGGCGGTTCCAGTTCTATAGCCGGGTACCCGGTTCCGCTGCTCACCACTAGCTAATATGTCCTTCCAGATTACATAGATTGATGCTGCAAATATCTTAGATTATCATTGTCCTTGGTAAGTGATAACCATAGAATATAAGAGTAAGATGGTGAGTGTTTGGTTATTAATAAGAGTTGCCTTTAGATGTATTTATAAACATGGTATCAGGAAGGAGAAGAAACCAAAGAAGAAGAAGAAAAAAAGAAATATGGAGCAAACCTGATTAGCGAGCGACAGGGGCGGCGACGAGCTGGTACGGCGGCGACGAGCGGAGGTGGTGCGGCGGCGATGGGGCGAGGGAGACGACGGTGTGCGAGAGGGAGAAGGAGACGGGAGGGGAGGGAGCGATGGAGGGAGATGAGGAGTTTTTAGGATTTTTTAAGTTTTTTTTTTAATTTAAGTTACCTTATATTCAGGTTACAGGTTACGATTTTAAGGGATAAGAATTTATTTAATAGGTTTTGTAAAATCTAAGGATTTATTTAACAGATTTTAGAATGTCCAAAGATTTATTTGTTCCAAAAAATTGTCCAAGGACTTAATCGTTCCAAACAGTAAAGTCCATTGGATTTTTTTTAACTTTTCTCTTTTTGTAATATGCATCAATAAACTGTACATCATGCATAAAAATGATTTTTAAGAGTTTTTGTTAAATGTTTTATAATATAGTATAGATAAACAAGCACAAACGTACATCAATGAATATAAACGAACATAAATTAACAAACGTAAATGAAAGAACGAGACCATTATTCATGTTTGTTCATTTAACTAAACGAACAACAAAATGTATTCATGTTCATTCATTTATTAAATAAACAAACATAAGCGAACTTCCTGCCAAAAGGTTCACGAACGGTTCAATGAACGTTGGGTTCATTTACACCCTTGCGAATACTTTAAATTTCATTTCAAATAAATTACAACTTTATCCATCCACTGTAATGAAATATCAAACACAATGTTTGGCATGTTTTAACTTGAACCCATTTTGACCTGTTACCAAACCGTCTATTTCGTCACCTATACATTCAGATTAAGTTACAACTTTTTAAACAGGTAATATCTTTGAGTTGTAATTGTCGACTTTAACTGATTATGAGACATAAACAGACTTGCTTCAAAGTCGGTCATGATCAATTTCAAGTTTTACAAGAATAAAAATAACTTTATATTCATCTATATCTATGCTATATTATAAAACATTTGACAAAAACTCTTGAAAACCATTTTTTATGCATGAAATACTGTTTATGATGCATATTACTTAAAATTCAAAATTAAAGTACATCGTGCGTAAGTACAACTTATTATAACTTCATGTTTGAATTCGTGTAACTAACTGTAGATAAACATAAACACATAGATGATAAACATAAACACATAGATGATAAACATCTTTTAAATATAAATAATCTAAAATATAATTAATATAATTATTGAGTTCAAACAAAATACTTGATTATTATCCTTATAAAAAATATATTATTAAACAAAAAAAAATGAATTAAAGAAATACACAAAAAAAAAAGAATTTTTAAATAGTTAGTTTCGTACTAATATTAATATTTTTTTTTCAATTTTTTACGATATTTTAATATTTATATTTTATTCAAATATCAAAACATTATTACTTTCTCAAAACCACATAAAACCGTATTATAACATCAACTTAGACAAAAAGAACGAAACATTAAAATCGAGATGTATCTCGTAGCATTGTGCGAATACTCTTCTAATTATAAAACATTTGACAAAAAACTTTTAAAAACCATTTTTATGCATGAAGCACTGTGTATTAATATATATTACTTAAAAAATTTAAAATTACAACTAAATTATGCGTAAATACAACTTATTAAAGTTTCGTTTTTGAATTCGTATAACTAACTGCAGATAAACATAATCAAATATAAGATAAATATCTCGTTTTAAATATAAAAAATCTAAAATATAATTATGATAATCATTGAGTTATAACATAATCATTATCTTTTATAAAAAATTTATTGTTTAGTCAAAAATAAATTACTTCACTATTTGATCTTAATTAAATTATAATAAAAAATTGAATTAAAGAAATTATACAAAAAAAAAGGAATTTTTAAATAGTTAATTTGACATTTATATTGATATTTTTTTTTAAATTTATTTTTATTTAAAAGTAAAATATTATTTTTCTCAAAACCACGAAAACCATATTATATCAACAAAGACAAAAAATAAAATGAAACATTAAAATGAAGACGTATCTCGTTGCATTGTACTAGTACCCTTCTAGCTATATTACGAAGTATTTGATAAAAACCATTTTTTATGCATTGTTTATTGATGCATATTACTTAAAATTCAAGAATACAAGTAATTTTACGTAAATACAACTTATTAAAGCTTTATTTTTAAATTTGTATAACTAGCTGCAGATCAATATAATCAAATACATGATAAACATAACATTTTAAATATAGAAAATCTAAAATATAATTAAGATAATCATTGAGTTATAACAAAATACTTGATTATTATCTTTATAAAAAATTATATTATCCAACCAAAAATAGATTACATTATTATTAAATTTAAATTAAATTATAATAAAAAATTGAATTAAAAAAATTACACAAAAAAAGGAGAACTATTAAATAGTTAATTTGATATTAATATTGATATATTTATTTCAAAATTTTATGACATTTTCAAAATTTATATCTCATTCAAAAATAAAAACATTATCGCTTTCTCAAAATCACATAAAACCGTATTATACTGATAGTGATAAAAAATAAAAATTAAACATTAAAATTGAGATTTATCTTGCTACATTGTCTGAGTACCCTTCTCGTTATTAAAAATTGGTTTTTGATTATGATTATTAAAAAAAATTAAAAATTGAAACTAATTAGAAAGAGAAACCTTTGATCTCTTTGTATTATCAATCTTTCTCGCATTATACTTTTTTCAACTGGCTTCACCTGATCTGTCTTCAAACCCCTTCACCCACAAACCATGGCCGGCGGTGGAGGCGATGCTCCGCCACCACCACGACCACCTGTAAACGGCGGTGAATTCCTTCTTCACTTGCTCAAAAACCCTCCACAGCATCCCCGTTCCAATACCCAACAACAACCACCACAACCGCCACCGGCACTACCTCACGATCCAGCCGTCGCCGCCGTTGGACCCTCCATACCCTTCCCATCTCATGGTAGCGATTATCTCCCACCCTCCCGCCCTTCACTTTTCCCACCTCATAACTACTTCAATCAAGGGTTAGGGTTCCCCCAAAACCCTAACCCTAATCCCAATCTCATCAATCCAAACCCTAACTGGCCCTTGAATTTCATGCATAACCACCCGATCAACAACCAGGGAGTGTTTGATGATCTAGCAAAGCTTGGAATTATTTACAGTAACCACCAAAACCAGCAGCAGCAGCAGCAGCAAGACCGACACAATAAGCTCGTTTTTGGTTCTTTGTATCCTGATATTCAAAGCTCTAAAGTGTCAAAAAATGGTAATTTGGATTACGATCTGGCTAATATTGAGAAGCATTTGTTGAAGGAGAGAGAATTGGGTGTTGGGAACAGTAGAGTGAACGGTTTAGAGGTTGATGTTAAGAGGAATGCCGAGTTTAAGCAAAATGTCCAAATTGGTTCATTGGCATTTGGTAATTATAGGTCAACGGAAGCTGCTTCACAGCAGCAAGCACGGCGGATACCGCCTCCAGGTTTTTCAAGCAAGGCAAGGACTGTAGGGAAGAGGAATATAGAACAGAGCGTGGACAAGGGAAAGGGAAATCACAGAGATGTTATGAGTTCAGGCGGCGGGTTTGTTGACGGAGAAAGGTTCCACATTGGGGAAAGGAGTTCGGGTGAGGGTGGGTTTATTAATCAGCTAGATGACCCGGGTCCATCGAGAGGAAATAATCTTCATTCGGTTCCTGCGACTGATGTTGAAGAGTCCATGATGACATTACATGCTATGAATGAACTAAAATCGAGGAACAATGGGCTTGATGCAAGGGAATTGGATGAGCTAGACGAACATGTTGATAATTTACTACTTGAAGATGGAACAGATGAAAAAAATGATATAAAGAAGGTCCCTAAATCCCGAGATAAGGTAAATGTTTATTGGTATTGTGATGTCTGCTATAAGTACTCTGATGGATATCTTGGTACAAGTCTTGGTATTTAAATGATGTTTCCTTTTGTTATACATATAACATATATGCCACACCCAGTATTAAATATTAGAAAAGATAGTAAACTGATGCAGGCAGTGCTTATAGCATCCTGATAAACAGACCCTTTCCTGTCCTTCATACGATAGAAGCACAGTTTTTGAGTTTCTTTTGCTCGGTCGCTGGTTGCTGATCGGTTCTCTGTTCTAGAGACAACAAAACACTTCTGATTTAGTTGACATCAACCTCCATGCTACCGAAGCTGATCTTTCAAAGGGCCATTGCCCTAGTTGTATTTATTTTACCGGTTGAGCCCAACCTCCATGAGGTCAAAGGCTCAAACCTCACCAAAGGTGAGGAGGGTGCCTGAGTATTTGCCATATATAATATATATACACTTAAAAAAAAACCTGAGATGTGGTTGTGTTAGTTTGTCAAGTTGAAACTAGTTTTCTACAGCGATGAGGATGTTAATATATCGGCTGCTGCAATCAAGATTGAATCTCATAGTGATTATTGGCTTTTAAGGTGTGACATCTTTTTTGTCTTGGAGCTAAAAACCTGAATTGTTTTTCCTCATGTAAGTGTTCGGTTTCTGCCTTTCTGGTATCTTACGCCAGTAGGTTGTAATCTGGAATAAGATTTCATACATCGAGGATTATTTTTTCCTTTCTGTTTTTGAATGTTCAGACTCTAGCAAACATCATCATTAGAGTTGTTTGGTTCGTAGAGACTGATTGATCGGTCACCAACCTTCAAGACCAAGAATTTGCCAATTTCCGTTATATCAGCGATCGTGCTTGTCCTGCTTCTGTAAATCACAGAATTAGAGCCATATTATACTAAATGTGCTTAGGTTGACTGGAAAGTGTATCCTGTAGATGGAGAAACAAAATCCATGCAGTAGATCAGAAGCAATTGTCTGTATCCAATATAAGGGAGCTGGTAATTCTCCTGTTTAGCTGAGTTGGATCTTTGGAGAGTCAGTGTAATGGCCTAATGGGGGTGGCTTGAGATATTAGTCTCTGTGGTTTTAACATTTTTCGCATATCTAGACTATCTTATAGAACATTCAGGTAAAAGTAACTCTTAAATTTTGAAGAGTACAATATCTATGAAGCATTAAATACAAATCATCATTCATCAATACATTAGGAGTTATGGCTAAAGTTAAAGGAAAAAACATGAAAGCATGTCCCCTATAGGTGGAACAACAGAAGGTGGAGTGGGTTCCATGCTTATAAAAGGAGTCAAAGTTTCCGGTACTAAAGCACCAAATCAATGCACTTTAAGTATTTGATTCTTTTTTCTTGTTCTCTTGTTATAGAGTGAAGAAAAGTGAATTAAGATTTTAGAGAGTTTGGGTGTAATTGGGGGATGGATTGAGAGATTAGCCTACGTTATTGTAATAAATTTTCACATAGTGGATTTCTATCTTAAGGCATGGGTTTCCAAAAAACTGAAAACAATTTTACATATTTATCAATTTATGTATAGATGTGTATGATTTCATATGATTGTAATTTCTATTTTGTTCAAACATAAATTTTGAATTCTCTTTTAATGAGGAATTGCATTAATTTTCAGTATCAGCGTTAATAAAAAAATTCAGTTTCTCGCTGCATCACATGGGTACTCCACTAGTTATACTAAATATGCTTAGGTTGACTGGAAATATTATCTTTTAGATGGAAAAATAAAATCCAAGCAGTAGAACATGAATACAATCTTCTGGCTTCAAATATAAATATCAGGCCCAATTGAGTTATGTTACTCATATGCATACAAGCTTGTTTTTTGATGGTCTATCAGGTCATTGGTCCATTTTCTTTACCTCCACAAAGGGAAGATTCATGAATGAAATCATAGATTAACCATGATGATTTAAATAGGAATTGGACTTTCATGTTAACGAAGATTGATGTTTTGTTTGCCATGGGGAGATGGAGTACCTTTTGGATGCATCTTCTTTACTCTTTTGATTTAGTAGTTTGTTAAAGAAAAGGCACTTGTATGGTTCTGTGATTGATCTTCCAGTGGTTAATTAAAATGTGGTTGTTCTTAGAAGTCATTGGTTCATGTATAGGAATTGAACTTCCATTGTAGCTCTTTAAAGAAAGGCACTTGTATGGTTCTGAAATTGATTTTCTAATGGTTATTGGTTGTTCTTAAAAGTCATTCTTTTTTGCATTTTTCTGTACCATTTGCATGTAGTAGTATGAGTTTTTGTTCGCTCGCTTCATGGTCTTCTTTCTTATGTTTTCTTTAGATTGATTAGCATCTCTTGTCATATGTTATCAGGATTACAGGTCAGATAAGAGGGGCCAATGGCTAGTTAACCAGAGAATGAGGAACTATAGAAGTCATACAGAATGCCGGGGGGATATAAATAGGCTAAATACTCCTTTTCTGGCAATTTACGAATCCTTGATACCGGCAGAGGAAGAGAAGGAGAAGCAGAAGCAACTTATGGCGTTATTGGACAAACATGTTAAGAAAGAATGGCCTGGAGCTCGGTTGTTTCTTTATGGATCATGTGCTAACTCATTCGGGTTTCGTAAAAGCGACATTGATGTTTGCCTTGCAATGGGGGATGCGGACATCAACAAATCGGAAATCTTGTTGAGGCTAGCTGACATATTGAAATCAGATAACCTTGAAAATGTTCAGGTGCATTATCTGTCCTATTTAATTATTCTAAATGGGTAGATTCGTCCTTTTAGAGTTTGTGTCTTGTTCTATTAGCAAAGCAGAAAATAGATGGGTGTGCATGTGAAATATTCACAAAGTTCTGATCCGATGCTTCAACCCAAGATAGGTGATAGATCAACTTTTTTGGCCTGTTTATTTTTAGAAATTCATGTTGTTTTGATAATTATGGTTTGGTAGACATAGCTTTTGGTAGGAGATTATCTTAAAAAACTTGATACATTTTTTTAGCACAATCCTCACATAAATTATTTTTTGGGGTAATTGCATCATGGTTAGTCATTTTTTAGTCAATTTTTTGCTAGAATGTTGAGATACTGAAGCTAATTCGCTATCTATTTTAACTTGGTTTTTATTTAATGACAACATAGCAGTAACAGCCTTTGATGTTTGTTACTTTAAATTTTCAACAAGGGGGTGATGACAATGGTGGTTTAATAATTTAACAGGATTTTTAGACGAATCTTTATAAATAAATCTCTGTCATTAATGGAAAATGATATTTGGAAGTAGGAATGAATCATCATAAGATGATCTATCAATTGGAATAATGATAATGGGTCTGAATATTATTTATGGATTCATAGTTACAGAGCGGAAAGACTTCACCTAATGAATTTATGCCAAAAAGGTTCTGCCTGTTTCTATTTGGGTTCAAATTTGATATTTATTTACGCTTTAATGGACATGGACTAAGATAACACAAAAATCTGCTAAATTGCTCTTAGTCCTGTAAATTTAAAATCCTACTTAAATTTGCTTACTGGGACCTAGCATATATATACGTATAATATATATATATATATATATATATGTATAAAAATATGGTTTCTTCCGTTATGGCTGGTTCTGATTTATGCTATCTGCAGGCGCTGACTCGTGCCAGGGTGCCCATAGTGAAGCTTATGGATCCGGTCACTGGAATCTCTTGTGATATTTGTGTAAACAACTTGCTTGCCGTTATAAATACAAAACTTCTTCGAGATTACTCGAAGATAGATGTAAGGTTGCGACAATTGGCCTTTATTGTCAAACATTGGGCGAAGTCGAGAGGAGTTAACGAAACTTATCAAGGAACCCTATCCAGCTATGCGTGAGTTAAACCACATTCTTCTTCCATATTTCTAGTCATTCCCTTTCTCTTATTCTCAGAACATATATATATATTTTTGTATTTGCTTTTCAGGTATGTTTTGATGTGCATTCATTTCTTACAGCAGCGTTCGCCTTCCATCCTTCCCTGTCTGCAGGTTTTTAATCTTTCCATAAACTACCTTATAGGATTCTGAAATGTAGCAGTTAGCTGTTGTTTGGTTAGTTTTTCGTTAAGTCCTATATGGATAAAGCTGTCTTTGTGGATTCATCTGTCTCTATAGCTTGGGAAGATTTTTGTTTGGGAGGGTTTTTTTCATAGATTGGAGCGTGTTCTTTAATTGAGGACATGTTTGGAATTTTTTTGGCTTTCTGCATAAAGCTTCCCGCGTGAAAACTTACTGAATAAGCCACTTTCTATGTCATTAAGCCATTAGTAAACAGTCATGTATGGCTGAGCAAATAAGCTGTGAGTCTCATTATGTAATAAGCCAAATTGGACTTATCAAGCATATAAAAAACACACATCCGAGCCCAATCACATTTTTATTTTGTTGCAACTCCTTGCCTTACCTCCTTATTTGCGGGCATAGGAGACAAATTGTACTTGTATTTTTGATTTTTAACTTAAATTTTAAATGGGTGGGTGATTGACTTTTTGACCATCAGACTTGGTTTTCAGTGCAAACAAGCTGCTGTTTCCATAAGAATTTACTACATTTCACAAAAAGTGCCAAACACAAATGTGCTTTTTTGCAATTTCTACTACTTGGCAAAAATTGCTCATTCTTGCAAGTCATGGTGTTCTTTTTGGCATTTTCACCAGAAAGAGGGTTGGGTTTGCAATGAAAAGCCAAACAAAATGGTTCAAAAATCAATTGTTTGGTTCTGGATTCACGATTTGTGAATTTCATCTTGGATGTTTTTTAGAAACCAAAATTACACCTCCCGGCTCCCGTATTCCATGTCTTGCTGTTTAAGAATTCATGAATGTCATACACTAATCTTCTCATTTTGATCATGCACTCAGTACATGCATATGTTTTGCTTTAAAGCAGTCGCATTGTGCCTTCATAAAAGCTGGCTTATTGATTTTTCTTATCAGGATATGGAGATAACTTATTCAGTAAATGTGGATAATGTCAAGTGTTCTTTCTTTGATCAAGTGGAGAAACTTCAAGGTTTTGGATCTCGCAATGGTGAAGGTATTGCTCAGTTGGTTTGGGCGTTCTTCAACTATTGGGCGTATTGTCATGATTATGCAAATGACGTCATATCTATTCGTACCGGAAGCATAGTAAGGTCAGTCGGCAATTCTTATTCTCTACTATACCATATGTGACATTTTGGGCCTGCTTGTTAGCAGCTTAATGAGCTTAAGGAGACTCGCAACTTATTCGCTTAGCTATACATGACTTTTTGGTTGTGGCTTAATGATATAGAAAGTGGCTTACTCAGTAAGCTTCTAGGAGGGAGCTTTATGGAGAAAGCCAAGTTTTTTCTAAACCTTCCCCCTCCAAGTAAAAAACACGCTTTTTCCATTTATGAAAAAAACCCTCCCAAAAAAACTCTTCCCAATCAAACAACCCCTTACTTTTTCCATTACAGAAAACCAACTTTATCCATACAGGAATTGATAGAACACCAACCAAACAACCCCTTACTTTCATCAAATACGGCTTTCGGCAGAATTCTATATGTATCTATGAGGAGGCACCCCTTCTCCCGAAGTTATGGGGCTATTTTGCCGAGGCAATTATAGATCCTGGGAGGCAATTCTGATTGGTTAATAAAAGTCAAATCGACTAATTAAACTCATGTTCTTATAATCAATTCGATCCCCCGATTGGATCGAGCATGCTTTTATAATGTGAACTTTCAAACCATATCATCAAAAGCAAAATGTTGTTACTTTAACATCAGCGTATAAGAGTAACATAACATGACATCACTTTTAGTTTATGAGGCACGTGAGCCCAGCCATTCTAGAACCGGGGAACAGTCTGTTTGCGATAATAGTTGTTTAGGCATGATCTGCAATTCTGTCACACTTGGACGGCACGACCCTTTTGTGTTTTAAGAAAATCAGAATTCTGATTTGTGTTAATTTGATAAACAGCAAACGTGCAAAAGACTGGACTAGGAGGATCGGGAATGACCGTCATTTGATATGCATAGAAGATCCATTTGAGGTATCTCATGATCTGGGTCGAGTGGTGGACAAACGTAGCATTCGTGTCTTGAGAGAGGAATTTGAGCGGGCTGCAGAAATTATGCAGCATGATCCCAATCCTTGCGTAAAGCTCTTCGAGCCCTATATTCCGTGTTGAGTTGCTACCATTTTTGCCCATAGCCCAAATACAATGTTGGTAGTCGCTGGTAAGTATCTCTAGACCTACAACCTGTAAATTCCTTGCCCGATTTTCTATGTGCTGGTGTTTTTGCATATTTTTATTAGGCTTCCTATCTATGGATTTGATCTTATGATCTCTTCTGTAAAGAACTGTTTCATACAGATTTGCGTATTTAATTTGTTTATGCTATAATTATCATTTGTTTTTGTTTTAATTATCATTTGTTTTTGTTTGCATACCTGAAAATGCTGTTAACTCATATGAGTAGGCTAGTGGTAGGGTCTATAATGTAATATCCAGGCTAACCATACTAGATATTGTCAGCTTAGTCCACAGTTTGTCCCTCCCCAACCAATGTGGGATCTTACGATCCACCCCCTTGGAGCCTAGCGTCCTTGCTGGTTAATGTAATATCCCAGGCTAACCGTAGTAGATATTGTCTGCTTAGTCCACACCTTGTCCCTACCCAACCAATGTGGGATCTTACGATCCACCCCCTTGGGAGCCTAGCGTCCTCGCTCGCACACCAGTCCTGTTCCCAGCTTTGATGGTACTATCTGTAACATCCCAGGATAACCGTAACTGATATTGTCTGCATTGTACACACTTGGATTCATGGTCTTAAAATTTGTCTGATAGAAGAGGTATCCAGTCCCTTGTAAGGCAACCTTTGTTCCCCTCCCAAACCAATGTGGGATCTTACTATAAAGAGGTCATCATAGTGATAAAAATTCAGAAACAACAAAGGTATATTGAAAACGAAGGGAGAGTGGTGGATAAATCATGGTTGAAGCTGAAAACTAGTGTCCGGTTTAACCTCTATATATATGTAGGGTCAAGTTTAGGGGAAAACCGCAAAATAAAATAAAATTTGAGGAACACTGTGCTAACCGTTCATCTGGGCGGTATGCACATTCGATATGCACATGTGCATGACATACACATGTGCATAAAAACCAAAAAACAGCTTCAATTACTTGTATGCACATGTGCATACCGTCCAGATGAATGGTTACCTGAGTGTTCCCTCAGTTTCCTTTTTTCGGGGGTGTTCCTCAGTTTTTTATTTTTTTGGGGGTTTTCCTCTGAACCTCCCTCGCTCTCTCCCTCTCTCTATATATATATATATGGAGAAAATTTTCAGAAACAATGAGTGTACCGAAACCGAAGGTTGAGTGATTCTAGGTTATGAATCCGGAAAATTAATGTCCAGTTTAACCTATATATACAGAAAATTTTAGCTAGCTAGCACCCAACTTCTTATTCTTCGGTTTTCACATCCACAGGAGGCAAGAAAGAATCGGTTGATAAACAACAGACGTTGAACTCCACCTCTTTAACTGTACACGTCTCCTCGACCTTCCATCTCACGTTCTCGCCATGCCCGTATCTATCAATTGTCGTCACCGTTTTCCCATAATGTGCTATGTTGATCCCATCTATTTGTCTGTAATCTTCAAGGGATGATTCCATTCTTGTCTCATAATACACATAATAATCACCAGTCTTCCTTGTTGACTTCATTTTGACCAATCTAGTATCTTCGAATTGAATCAGGAGGCCCGTTCTTTGACTGAAATAGCCCCATATGGTATGGTGCATGATCTCCGTGTTTGCTGTACTTTGTCCGTTTAGGATATCTTGGCTTGTGTCCAGTTTAAGTATGAAACAATCTTCGTTCATGATCACCTTCTCTCCGACGCAAACCGTGCTCAAGAATAGGTTGGTGGTTGATCTGGGATCTAGGCCCTGTCATCATCAAAATCGAAATTTATGTGAACAATTTACCGTAAAATCTTTCCCTTCAGAAGGAAAAAGGTTGTGTAGTTTGAGAGTTGAGAGGAACTTCTGAGGTAAATGCGGAAATTCAAAATAGGCGTCCTGATGATAATTTATTATTGTTGTACGATGCAATCTAATGTATGATTTGGGACAATAATGAGGTGGGACAAAAACCCAATTTCATGGTACAAAACTATATATATATATAAGTTTATTATTTGTTTATATATATATATATATATATATATATATTAGAAACATATATATATACACACACACACATAGAGAGAGAGAGAGAGAGAGAGGGGTTCACGGGAAAACCCCCAAAAAGATGAAAAAATGATGAACACCCTAATAGTCATTCGTCGGTACAGTATACATGTGAGTGAAGATGTTTCCTGGTTTCTATGCAAGTGTGCATGTTATGCACATGTGCATACCGGAAAAGTTACAAGTTGCTTGTATGCACATGTGCATATTGTACAGGTAAATGCTTACTAGGGTGTTCCTCAGTTTTTCAATTTTTTGCGGTTCTCCGCTGAACCTGACCCTATATATGTATATTATTATTAATACCAATTTTAATTTTTATAATAAAATTATTTAAACAACATTTTAGGGGCAATTTGGTCATTTTAACATTTTTGTCTTGTCCTGCATACCAAATACATTCTTAAAAATGTCGTAGCATGAACAATGGCACCATGCTAGCATCCTAGTAAACATGGAAAGCAGATCGACGGCTAGTATGGCAGGATTTGTTGGTGAGTTCTATAAGCATAATCATAGTGAATGTAGAGATACTTGTACTGTACAAAAATTAGGGAGATGAGATAAGATTGATAAATTACTGAACTACCCATGTCAAATTAAAACCCCAAAACTATCCACAATACGTTACCCGCCTACCTCACTGTACAACCCGGCAATTTTATAAGCCTGGGGATGTTAGAAAACTTTACCTGAAAGAATCGCCGTAGTGGTCTTGGAGGTCCTCGGTAACACTGAGAAGGCTTCAAAGACGACTGGCTCCAGGTCACGCTGCCGTCACTTCCAGCACTCACCGTGGAATCAGAAACCACTAGCTCCAGGTACCACAAATTAGGGTTCTTTTGGCACAACACAAACGCACCCGAGTCAGAAATATGTCTGGTGGTTGGGCTCTCTTGACCATCACCAAGGATTTGGCTTTGTGTCATGTTCACTTGACATACGGTAGACATACTGTTCACCGAGTTTAGGGCAGTATGCCCTCCGGTTGCTGCTATGTAGTGTCGTACGATGTATTTTGCCATTGATGCTTCCTGTAGACATTGATCATAAGTTTTTTGGTTTTCTAAATTCTGTATTGTTTGCTTTCATGTTCATGATAACCTCATTCAGCATCTTCATGCTTAAATACTTGTATGCAGCAACTGTTGTACATTGTAAATATGGGTCTAACTTACCTATTATTTTGGGCAAATTGCATGTAAATGCAACGTGTTTTGGTCTGGTACCTATTTTGTTTATTGTACCATCAAAATCTTCATTTTTGTACCTTAGGGATGCGATTGGTATGCAGGACAGAACAATACATGTTTGGTGTGACATTAGACTGGGCAGGACGTACCGAGTGGAACAAAAATGCAGTTAGTTTGTTTCATGAAAATAGGTGGAAAAAGTCAAGGAGATGTACAAGATTGAGAAATTACTAAATTACCCATGTCAGATTAGAACCCTAAAACATTTTACAATCTTTCATCCGCCTACCTCACTCTTGTCCGTCCGGTCCAGTCTAGTTCTATCTAGTCCCGTCCGCGTACTAAATGCATCCCAGATGTGACGTATTAGACATTTAGATACCTAGTTTACATATATGATAATGCAAGGCAAATGCTAACGTATTTTGGTCTGATTCTTATTTTGTATGACATACTATGGGTCTAAATGTTTGAGATATCATGTTAAAGGTATCAAACTGAAGGTTTTGAAAGTATATTATATAAAATAGGAATCTAACCAAAATACGTTGCATTTTCGTACAATTTGCGCTATTATTTTAGGGTTTGTAAATTAGTTTCTTTTAATTTGTTTTAGGTATAGAGAATGTTTTATGATTCAAGTTCTTTTTCGAATCCTTTTCCACAATATGTACAAGTCAGGGATCTTCATGCACACAACCGCTCTATCCTTTTAAGGTAGAGGTCAGGTCTACATACATATCAACCCTCCCAGTGGAGGACCCCACATTCGGTTGGGATATATTGGGTTTGTTTGATTTGGTTTTAAAATGTTTTATGATTCGGCTTGTGAATTAGAGTCTTCTAAAAATAGAAACAGGCAATAATGTATAAAATCTGAGGAAGAAATGCTCACAATGGAACCATCTTTTACGGGCATTTCGAGTGTACGATCAAGTTGAACCTGGAATGGGATGAACGACGAGCTAGCAATCTTCAAGAGGTACATAAATTGTTTGTCTTTTGGACCATCACCTCCATCGCTGGTGGTCGACAATGCCGTGAGCCACTTGGTGAGCCGGGCATGGTGCGTCATCGAAAGATTGCGCATTTGCTGCCATCTTTTTGCGGCGTTCATGCCCGTGTTGGTGAACACATTTTCCGGCATGGATATCTCCAATAATGTCTCCAACCCTTTTTCGTCATCGTTGGTTGAGCACAATCTTCTCATAGATTGAAACATATTGGCTTCTTAGCCAAGGGATCTATTCGCACGATGGGTCTTGGCTAAGAGCACCTTCGGTGGCACCACCAACGGGCCAAAATGCAGACGAATGGGTTTTATCTGGGGTAATAAAAGAAGGCAAACATCCTTGCAGAACGAGATAAATAATATGAATTATATGAAGATATATCTTCTTCTTTCCTTCAAAGAAGGATGAAGATCTTGGGGTCTTTGGGAATTAGGTTTGCGATTTCTTATATATTCTTGCAAGAAATTTGAGTAATTTACATTTATACCCCTCAACATTTTTAGATCAACACTTTACACCCTTATGGGGTTTGGGAATTAGGTTCCAAAATTTCTTATATATTCTTTAAGAATTTGAGTAATTTGCATTTACAGCCCTCAACATTTTTAAATCAAGACTTTACACCCTTGTGGTTTTAAAATCTATCTTGGTTAGTATTCCAACTTATAAAACATAGGGGGAGGATTTGAAGTTGAGTTGAAAGTTAAAGGTTTTTTGGGGCATTTTGGCAACTTTTGAGCCAATGCTTCTAGGATTTATAAAATATATATCAATCTTATATATCAGAGTAAAGGGCAAATTGCATAACTTGATTTTTTTTAGTAACGTATTTTCAGAACGTTTATTTTGATACATAAGATGTAAAGTTTTAGACATTTAAGTACCCAGGTAACTGGTTGAAGTATTAACCGGTTACTATGCTGATGTAGCAAGTGATATAGATGAAGTTGGTTGAATACAAAATAATACTGAGTTGGACATCACTCACCACATTAGCATGGTAACTGATTACTGCTTCAACCACTTACCCGGGTACTTAAATGTTTAAAACTTTACATCTTAGATATCGAAATGAAAGTTCTGAAAGTATGTTACCCAAAATAGAAATCAAGTTAAAGTACGTTACCTTTTTTCATGCAATTTGTTCTAAAGTAAATTAAGCTTTTCATCCTTGTGGTTTGTTAAAAGTTTCGATTTTTGTTCCTGTGATTTGTTAAAAATTAAAATTTCATCGTTATAGTTTAGAGAATACCATTTTTATCGCTATGATTTGCAATTCATTGCTATTTTCATTTTCGGGCCTAACTTCTACCTCCAAGTACAAGGGACGAAAAAAGCAAAGAAATTTGAACCATAGGGACCAAAATAGTAATAAATTTAAATTATAACGATAATAATAATAACAATGAGTTACAAACTATAGGGATGAAATTCGTAACTTTTTACAAACCACAGGGACATAAAATACTCTATATATTATTTATTTACTATTTTTTAATCAGTTATATAAAATTAGTGTGTAAAATGAGTAATTTTTTTAAACTTGGAAATCAGCAAGAATTTGTTATTTTTCACTGAGATTTTATGATTCAAAACAATCATAATTTGTACATTTTGGAGATATAAAATCAAAACCAATCCGTCCTTCGAGTCGGGAAAAATATTGTAAAACGACCAAATATTTGTTTCTAAAACGGGAAAAAAGATGCTTCGATGAACACGTTATTTTATTACAATCGGATGGAACATTGCGACTGTCGGCATATGAATGAGGATATCATGCATCGATCTTGTTTGTTTTGAATTTCTTTTTGTTAATAGTCGGTTGTTTTTTTACCTGTCATCTTAACAGAGTCGGCTTTGACCTTTTGGAGGACTTGTGCAAAAAACTAAAAGTCTGTTTGTTAGCAGGTTAATAAGCTTAATTGGACTTATCTTATTTAGTGAGCCATACATGATTGTTTGGAAATGTTACTTAATGATATAAAATACGACTTATTCAATAAGTTTTCTTCGGGGGAGCTTTATGTAGAATACAAGTTCTTTTTCTTTCTAAACATGTTTTTTCCAATTAAGAAACACGCTTCTTCCATCTATGAAAAAAGTCATTCCAAACAAAATCTTCCCAATTTATATGAACAGATTAATTCACACAGACTTTTTGATCCATACAGGATTTAATAGAAACCAACCAAACAACCAGGTATTTAAATTGGTGATTAATTGATAAAAGTAAAGTAAATTACACAAGTAAAATAATATATATAAAATAAATATTTAAAACTAGTTTATTTAGAACACAAATTTTATAGAAAGAAAAGGCTTAAATAATTTTATCTAAAAGATTAAAGAATAAGAAAATATAGGAAAAAAAAAGTTAATGATAAAAAAAAAATAGACGTATGTAAAACATCTTTAACAACTTTGCTATCTTAGAAATTTTGGAGATTTTAGAAAAGTTTGCTACAACAGTTATGATAAACTCTTCTCTAAAATAGAGAAAAAGAAAAGGGGGGGGGGNGGGGGGGGGGGGATTGAGAAATCTTAAAATTTGAAAAACTGAGAAAATATAACATACCTAGGGGTGAGCAGCGGAACCGGAACCGCCGGTTCTGGAACCTGAACCGATATGAGTGGTTCCGGTTCCTAAAATACGGAACCGATTGAGAACAGTTCCGGTTCTCAATTTTTTTGAACCGTTACCCGCCGGGTACCCGTCAGGACCGGTTCCGGGACCAGGTACCCGGAACCGGCGGGAACCCTGAATCGGAACCGGCTGGTACCCAGTGTTTTTCAATAAAAAAATAATTAATTTTTTTAATACCAAATGTATATTATGTTACATCTTCAAAGGACGTGGTCATCTTCATTCTTCATCAACTTCTAAGTTATACTAAACTACACTTCATAGTATGTAATCGTTAAGTTTTGAACATTTACAATTATAGTATGTAATCGTTAAACTTTGAACATTTTCTATTAGTCTATTATGGTTTATAATCGTTAAACAATATTTGTAACCATTATTCCGTATAATTTGTATTATTGTTTATTTAATTTAGTGTTTTGGCAATGTTTTATTTTTTATTTCTAAATAACAAAATTTTAATATTTTAGGAAGCGGGTACCCGGAACCGGAACCGGTTCCCGGCGGTTCCGGTTCCGGTTCCAAAAATTCAAGAACCGCTCTAACCGGTTCCAGTTCCGGTTCCAATATCTCAAGAACCGCCGGTTCCGGTTCCTGTCAAAAAAGGCGGGTACCCGCCTATGCTCACCCCTAAACATACCTGTTGGAGATGCTACTATATACCATGGTTGTCTAAAGACTAATTGCATATTTTCATTTTAATTTTCTTCAAATACAGAGAACTAAAAATGATTTTTTTTTTAATTTCTATCAGTAAGAATGCTTGAAATTAAGTGTTTAGAAGGAAATCAGTATTTTATTAATACATATTGAATATTTTAATAATATAATTAATGTTGTAATCTTCAAAATGGAGAATTTGATTATACTTTCTTTAGAAATTTTGATTTTTGATTCTACATTTTAGAGAATTTATAAGAGATGCTCTACGCATCCATTTTCCAATTCTACCCTTGTTCATAAGATGGAGAAATTCATTAATCATTTTAAGGGTAAAATTGTCATTTAATTAAAATCGAATTACATTTTCTCTGGTGATCTTGTGTTTTTAATGGATCCCGTCCTTACTTTGAAAAATCAATGAGTTAGGTACATGTGGTTGTATTTTTTTAACAAATCGAGTCTCTAATGCAACCACAAGGACCAATTCGTTAATCTGTTAAAACTCAACTTATTAAAAAACTACAATCACATTAAAAAACTCGTTAATTTTTCAAAATAAGTACAAAATTTATTAAAAAACACCAAAGCATTTGACTGCAGATCATTAAACGCTTTAGCCGTACACTTAAACGGTAACCCATAAAGTCAATTAACTTGGGTTATAGGTAGGGATGCTCAAAAACCCGACCAACCCGATCAATCCAACCCGACCAACCCGAAGCAACCTGATGTCTAATCGAGTTGTAAAATTGTTAAACCGTGGGTATTAGGTTGATATTGGGTTACAATTATTTGAACTCAACCCAACCCGATGAACCCGATATCTTTTTATTTCTTGGATTTAATATGATTGTTGAATTGTATTAATATATACATTAGACAATTACACTATTATGTATGCTTTTCATATATACATATTTTCAATCTATTCACATCTCTATATAACTCATTCATATATATGTTCAATAACTGTGAACATATATATGTAAATTGAGATAATTAACTGAATGTGATATACGTAAGAAAAATATGGATCAGTTGTATCAAATGGTTAATGATGAAAAATAAATTATGAGTAGAGAAATAACATATTCAATGTTAGAAGAATATTTTAATATACCAAAGTATCAACCCGACCAACCCATACAGGTTGGGTTGGGTAGGGTTGCACTTTGGTTTGGGTTAAGATTTTTCCAAACCGCAAACATTGGATTGGGTTGTTTAAATGTCTTCAAACCAATCAACCCAACCCATGAGCACCCTAGTTACATGTGTGGTTCTAGGTGTATTGACTGCACAGGGACGAAAAGCGCGATTCACCCTTAAGTTAATTAAAAAAATACAGTAATTATACATTTCTAAAACTGTATGTCTTTTTCATTATGGACACAGATGAAATAATTCATAATAACAACATAAACCCACAAAAACATACCACATTTTCAAAAGGTTTATATTCACATTCAAATTCACATTTACACTTCAATTTTTTTTTTGTATAAAATCAACAAGAAGATTCTCTCAATCTATCATCTTCTTCACTTACACCTATTTCCAAAACAAACACAAAGAAAACACAAGTTGCATACACGAGTGGTAAACAAGTCGATCGCGATGTAAAAAATTTAAAAACCGAACGGTTTCCGAGGATCAACAACGAGCGGAAAACGACGGTACCTTTTTCATTGACCGAGCTTACACCCCCGGATGTAAGGATGGTCAAACTTTATGTACTTGATCCAATACGGCCGGTACTTTGTCATTGCCAACTCGAGCCACGGCTTCATGTTTCCGTTGTAGTGAATCACGGCCGCTTTCTCGATCTCGTTCTTATCGATGCTTGGATTGTACCCGAGACCGAGTACGTGCCATGATTTGTCGAGTGGATGTGTTAGACCATAAAATGTCATCAGCCCGGGTGGTAAAGTTCCTAGCTTCCATAGAACCCTCTCTTCATTCTAATACCAACACAAAACAAACCCTATCAGAATATGAGAATATGTGGAACCTGTTAGATTACTGTTCCAACATACATTCAGAAGAAATGGTCCAAGTCTAACGACAACATTGGCTAGAAAGGCATAGATTGTCCCAGAGTGTCGAGTCCCTAGTTTGGTAAAACATAAACCGACTCTGATACCATATGGAAATAACCCATTTTGGTTGGTTTTCCATAAATTCCTTTGTAGGAAAGCTGTCTGTATGGACTTGGATTAATCTATCTGTATAGATTGAGAAAGTTTTTGTTTGGGAGGGTTTTTATCATAGATGGAAGGAGCACGTTTTTTAATTCGGAAAGACATGTTAGACTAAAAACTTGGCTTTTTGCATAAAGATCTCTCCTAGAAGCTTACTGAATAAGCCACTTCCTATATCATTAAGTTACTGCCAAACAGTCTTGTGTAGCTGACCAAATAAGTTGCGAGTCCAATTAAGCTGCTAACAAATAGACCTTTAAGTCTTGTATTGATAAAGCTGTCTGTATAGATTAATCTCTGTATGAATTGGTAAGGTTTTTGTTCTAGAGATTTTTTCATATAAAAAAGGAAAAAACATGTTTTTTAATTGGGAGGGACATGTTTGAAAGAAAAAAAAACTTAAGCATAAAGCTCCCCCTAGAAGCTTACTAAATAAGTTCTTTCTATATCATTAAGCCACTACCAAATATTCAGCTGACCAAACAAGGTATGAGTCCCATTAAGCTTATTAAGCTGCTAACAAACTGGCCCTAACTCTGCCCCATGAGACAAAGAGGTTGTTTCCGAGAAAACCCCATGAATCTAAAGATAGAAAAGCGAAAGACGGGTTAACAAAAGAAAATCTTACCATATTTTGCCATTTGTGGTATATGCCGGTTATATCCTTCTTTGTCCACTCCTCGAGATCAAACATGTTCATCCCGTAAGCCCATCCGCAAGCATTGGGATCAAAGTTTCTTGCAATATGAGGATTCGAGAAATTTAAGTACTTATCAAAACGATGAAAGCTTTCTCCACACGTTTCAACGGCGCCGTTCACTTTCCCTTGGAGATCAACTCTCCACAACCCCGTTAAGTCTTTCTGAACAACGATATCATCATCAAGAAAAAGGATTTTGTTCAACTTGGGATAAACCTGGGGGAGATAAAACCGAAGGTGATTCAGCATTGAAAGATACTTCGGGTTTCGGTACTTCAAATTGGATGAACCAGCAGAAAGAGTCGTTTGATGATCCGATTTGAAATAGTATTCCTTCATTGCAGCAGATTCGAGTTGTCGAAGAACTGGACAGTACGATGAATTCAGCCACTTAAATTCGTCAACATTTTCCACATGGATCGTAGCTTTACCAGGCGGGTTCAGTAAAAACCACATATTCATCGCTCCGAAGTTTAATTTATCGGAGACGAGATGGAAAACATGTTTCTCTGGTTCCTGTATTCAACCCCAGATGATAATATCATTAGTTCACAGAATACCCATTTTCAAGATAAATGATTAGATTATTCAAGAATGATCAATTTCTTAATCGAATTTTCATTACAAACCCGCAATCTTTCTTTTGACAATGCCAAAAGAATGCTACAGTTTCCAAGAATGAGTGGTTAGGACTTAGGAACCCGGAACCGCCCTTAGTGCGCCACGTGTGCGTTTTCAGGACGAATATTCATCATGAGTAAACACATTCATGATGAATATGTGCATGTTATTTATCATGAATCACACATTCATGATGAATAACGCGTCCATATTGGACCCACCTCGCAGCATGTGTACCTCTTCATATTCATCATGAATATGAACATGTTATTCTCATGAATCACACATTCATGATGAAGATAAATGCGTTATTCATCATAAATCACACATTCATGATGAATAACACGTCCATATTCCTGATGAATATGCCACATGTAGCACTGTGAGCGGTTCCCGGGTTCCTAATCAATTTTGGGTTCCTAACGGATCCCTCCCGTTTTAACTAATCTCAACACAAAAGCACTAAAATAAATAAGATCATATAGCCATATATACCTTAGCATTCATGACAGTTGAGTTCACAACAACTGATGCAGCCAAGACGTTATCCGAGAAGAGAGCGTAGTGATAGAGACTTGGATTCTCAAGATTCTCACTCCTCGGGAACTTTCTCTTCTCCGGTGGAAGAAGGTAATAATCTATGGTTAGGCGCATCGATAAGCAATGGATTCCGTTTGGGATCGTTTTGGCTGCTAACTGGCTCAAAAACGTGCTCTGCTTCTTCAAGCTACGAACTTGCTCGTCGGCTGATTGAAGCATAGCTCTCAGCTTCCCGGTGACCATCTTGCAATCGTAAAGCTGATCTTTAGCTTTCGACAGTAGTTTGCCCATAGCTTTGATTTTCTCCGGTACACTATAAATATATACATAAAATATAATTGGGAACATAAGAGCAGCCTAGAAGCAATCTACAAAAAACACATACATGTGAAATGCACAAGGACCTACTACTGTGGGTCCTTTGATTAAATGACCTTCTAACTGTTTTTTTAAATCTATGACCTTCTGACAGGTTTGAGAAGTTCAACGCTTAATAGAAGAATGCCACTTCCAAACACAAGAATGTCTAGAAACCTGTAAGGTCATGGATTTAAAAAACACTTGTTGGGAGTCATTTAGCTAAATAACCCGACCTCCTACTACCGACCTCCGATTAAGATCAGCATCTGCAGTGGCAACTCCTAAAGCACGTTGACTTTCTTTAAGTTGATTTTGTAGTTCACGTGCCAATTCGGTCTTGTTTTTCATCGTTGCAATGCTCTTATATACCCTCGCCATGATCATTTGATCCCGAACCAAGCGGACAGTTGTATCAGTGTTCTCATTATCGTTCTCTTTTCTCCAAATACTGTACTTCCCAAGAACGGCAGAGTCGACTGATTTCGAACGTTCAATGGCTGCATTTTCAAGCTTTATGATCACATCATCATCTTGTTTCACTAAATCAGCTGCTCGGTTTTCACGTCTTTTATCTCTCAGTTGCTACAAGAACAGTAAAAAAGAACATTCAATCATCAAGATTTAATAAAAGGGGAAATTATCCAAAATAGCCAATCAGGCATCCCCTCCTCACTTTATAGCCACCTTTCCAACACGGTGACCAAAATAGCCGAAGATTACACAAGTAGCATTTAAGCAACTTGCGTAACACACTTTTTCCAATAAAATAATCAGAAAAATTAGACATTAGTTCTACCTATGTAATGTCTAGGTGGCTATAAAGTGAAGAAGGGAGGCCCGATTGGCTATTTTGGACAATTTCCCTGATAAAACGGTCTTTGTTCATTAGAAAGTTCAAATTAGCATATTACCCTTCTTGCTAGTTTTGCAGGCGTATCGACAGATTGAGAATGACCTGCTGTATTAACACAAAATAAACGTAATTCAGATTCACATTTTAGCGAACATCTTAACAACTCATCTGCGAAAAGAACATCATTACCATCTAAAATTTTCTCCTGTTTGCTTATTGTGATCCGTTTTCTGTTAGCTTCCGTAATCTGGTTGGGCACATTAGGATCGGCAATGTATCATTAAACGGGTTTTCTTCATCAAGAAAGGGAAGACCAACCAAAAAATCATAAAAAAATATGCTAACCTCAGTAGAAGAGGAATTATCATCGATCACATTTTCTAGCCCGGAAATTTTCCAAGAAGCTGACAAGTTGTTTTTCCGAAAAGAATCAAGGCTCCAAGGTCCTAAATCATCTGTGTTGGCCTTGATGACATCAATAACCTAAATTACCCAAATGGTAAGAAAAATAATAGATGAGACGAAATGATATGAACGTTAAAATGAGTTTTTAGCAGCATGCCTCCTTCGAGAAAAGAGATTTGACGTGCAAAAAAGCCAGCTTTGCTCTCCAATCTACATCCTGCACCTCTTGTTGAAGGTAAGTATCTGATAATTTGAGACGTAAATAATGTAAATGATAAAAAAACATACCTCTTTGCTAATAGTAGTTGAAAAATCATTTTGATCTGCACAAATAGAAGAGAAATCAAATGGTTGAACATTTATTAGCATACATAGGGTCTGCTTCAAGGGGGGAAACGCAAAAAAAAGACAAAATGAGGAACACCCTGGTAGCTGTCATCTGGAAGGTATGCACATATGCATACAAGTATTTCGTAAGCAATTTGTCCTATATGCTTATGTGCATAACATGCACACATGCATAAAAACCAAGAAACGACTTCAATTACTTGTATGCATATGTGCATAATGTCCACATGAATGGTTACCAGGGTGTTTCTTAGTTTTTCATTTTTTTGCGTTTTCCCCTTGAACCTCCGTCTCCATACGTAAATATAATGTCTTGATCCATAACAACACTTGATTTACCAAAAACGGCATTCTAAGTGCAAACAAGAAATGCCCATCTTGACATGGAAGTTTTACAAGTTCTCTCAAGTAAATAGACGGTTGACAACAAAGTCCTAATCGTACATCGTCGATAGAGATATATTCTTATTGTAAATTTGTAATATAGAATTATCTTATTTTAAGATGAGGAGTTTGAAGCACTTGACTCACATAGCCTGTCAATTAGAACATAAACTTGCTTAATAGTCGAAATGACTTGAAAAACTTATATGAGGACTATTTGCATGACTTGATACATCTCAAAAAGAGCACTAATGGTCACCTAGCAATGCCAACTACACTTGTGAAGTTGTGAGATCCCACATTGACTGAGGAAGGGAACTAAGGTTGCCTTATAAGGGACTGGATACCTCCGCGTTTTAAAACCATGAGTCCAAGTGTGGACAAAACGGACAATATCTAGTACAGTTGGCCGGGGTCATTACATAAGTGTGCTTCAACAAAGCTTGAATGTTGAGTATGGAACCTAGACGGATACATAGATTAATGTTTGACTACTTGTTAACTATCTAAAACAACCTTAAATAAAGAGAAACCAAAGATATCTTGTGAATCCAAATGAAGACAATCAAATTTACTGTAATGATGGTGATGATGGCCAAATAGCTAAATTTAACATGAAAACTTCCCCAAAGAGGAATGTTGCTATTTTCATGGGACATCACAAAAAGGAAAGTCGTGTGATTTTAACGGGATGAATGGAGTACTTTTTTTTGCAGGTTGGAGTCTAGTAAGTGCTTGTTTATGGGAATTGAGGCTCTCCAAAACCACTTTAGTTAACAAGCAATAACAGTGAATAGCATTTAGAATGCACCTACAATATCTGAGTACCACTACCGCACATCATATAATTGTTGCCAGCCCCTTTAAATTTCCGTAACCCAAATTAGATTTAGGGCGTGTCTGTTAGCAACTTCATGAGCTTAATGGGACTACAACTTATTCGGTCAGCTATACATGACTGTTTGGTATTGACTTAGGGCATGTTTGCTAGCAACTTAATGAGCTTAATGAGACTCGCAGCTTATTCGGTCAGTTATACATGACTGTTTGGTAGTGGCTTAATAATATAGAAAGTGACTTATTCGGTAAGCTTTCAAGAGGGGAGCTTTACGCAAAAAGACAAGTTCTTTCCAAACCTGCCCTCCCAATAAAAAAACACGCTCCTTCATCTATGCAAAAACCTTCTCAATCTCTACAGACAGATTAATCTACACAAACAACTTTATCCATACAAGACTTGATGAAAAACCAACCAAACAGCCCCTTAATGATAAAGAAAGTGTCTTATTCTGTAAACTTCTAGATGGAGTTTCATGCAGAAAGACAAGTTTTTCCCATACCTGGTCCTCCCAATTTAAAAACAAGCTCCTTCCATCTATGAAAAAACCCTCCAAAACAAGAACCTTCCCAATCTATACAAACATATTAATCCACAAAGACAATTTTACCTGTACAGGACTTAATTGAAAAACAACCAAACAGTCCCTTAGCCCCATTCATAGTTGCAATTCTTCTTTCATCCAGAACACTTAAATCCCCTATCTCAAACTTCAAGAAGTAATAAAGCAGGTATTGGAATGGATAAATGGATAATTGCACACAACCTTAGTTCCATGATTTGCTTGTATTCATGGTTACCAGAATTAATGAAATTCTTGAACATTATGAAGTAGAAAACACAACCTTCTTAAAGAAGCAAAATTGGACAGAAAAAAAGGATGAAAGAGAGAGTAACATTCATCCTCTGGGCACTGTCGCAACCAAATCAACAATTTCTTGCAAAACTGGTTTCAATTTGACTTTTAGGCTCTATTTCCATCAAGTTCAATATCACATTATCACCCCTCACTAATAAACTAACTAAATTCACTAAAACCCCAAATCTAAACAACAAATTTCAAAGAAACTCACATTACCAACACAGAAATTAACAGATTTTATAAAATGCACTAACCAGTTGAAGTAATCCTACACCCAACGAAGAAGCCAACAGGAGCAAGAACTAGAAATATCACAAGAATCACAATTGACATCCAAGATCCACCTCCTCCATTGTTCCTGCGAACACCCGCGATTGAATTCCCCCTCTTAACCGCCATCTTCACCCCTAATCATAAAAATTCCAAATCAAAACAAAAAAGAAGAATTAACAATGCTGTTCTTGAATCGATGCATTTAGTCAAAGATAAGAGAATTAAGGAACATTACCGGATAGGGACGGAGATCAAGTTGATGGGAATTTCTGCTCAGACTAAAAACCCTAGTCTAATCACATTACATTGGGAAATGGGGTACATGAAGTATTGAAGTTGAAGTAAAGTGAGATTTGGAAGCCCTTGGAGACAAGATTTGTTTCAGAGTATCAATGCCGTAATGAAAAATTGCGATTTGATGGTGGTTTGTGGAGGTAGGAACAGAGATCTGCAATGGCGGATTTGGGGTTTTGTGAATCTAATTAGGAATTTAGGATAATGATGATTTCTACCAGGAACGAATTTGGAATCGAGTCTTTGATTATATGATAGCGTTCTTATTTCTTGTTTGTTTTTATCAATTTTCATAGCGTAAGCGACGTCGTTTTCAGTGGTAATCGCCGACACTTTGCTTCCCTTCTTGGTTCAAAAGGTTTGGAGTATTTACATTTAGCCCCCTTAAAGTTTACAGATTGTATGATTTTATCCCACAAAGTTTGATGCATAATAGCTATATGTATGGAATAAGCCACTTTATGTATCATTAAGCTACTAGCAAATAGTCATATATATCTAATTAAATAAACTATGAATCTTATTAAGCTCATTAAGGGTTTGTTTCTTACCAGCTTAATGAACTTAGTTGGACTTACAGTTTATTCGGTCAGCTATACATGACTGTTTGTTAGTGACTTAATGATACATAAAGTGGCTTATTCCATAAGCTTTTAGGGGGAGCTTTATATAGAAAACCAAGTTTTTTTTTCTTTCTAAACATGTCCCTCCCTATTAAAGAACTCGTACATTCCATTTATGAAAAAACTCTCCCAAACAAAAATATTGCCGACCCATACAGATATATTAACTCATGCATTCAATTTCAATGGAAAAGCAACTATCCTTTGACTTGCTAACTGAAAGAGTCTAAATTTTATTATATTTTGATTTAATTTCGTATTTGATCATTACAATAATTATTATATATACTAGAAGGGTACTTACGTAATGTTGCGAGATACATCTTGATTTTAATATTTCATTTTATTATTTAACTCAGTCGATGTTATAATACGATCTTATGTGATTTTGAGAAAGCGATGATGCTTTTATTTTTGATTAAAATATAAATTTAAAGATATAATAAAAAATTGACAAAGATATATCGACATTAGTATCAAATTAACTATTTTAACCACAAGGGTGATGCCTGATTGGTTTTAGCTTGACTCCAAAGATCAAAAGTACCAGGAGGTCACATGTTCAAATCCAAGGAGGAATAAAAATCCCTTTGTGGCACGGAGGTTCCAATGCTGTGACTCCGGGCTATCTGCAAAGCAGGTGGTCGCCCTGGGATAGTCGGCTTGCATAGCGGGTTGGATATCCAGGTTAATAAAAAAAATAACTTTTTAAAATTTCTCATTTTTTTTGTGTAATAATTTAATATAGGTACAATAACGAAGTAATTTATATTTGGTTTAATAATATAATTTTTTTATAAAGATAATAAATAATTATTTTGTTAGGACTCGATAATTATCATAATTATATTTTAAAATAAGATGTTTATCCTCTATTTGATTATGTTTATCTGCAGTTAGTTATACAAATTTTAAGTAATATGCATTAATATAGAGTACCTTATGCATAAAAAATGGTTTTTAAGAGTTTTTGTCAAATGCTTTATAATATAGTATAAATATATTATAATTTTTAATCTAATTTTTTTATTATTATTCAAGCATTTTTTATTATTATTTATGTATTAAATCAAATGCTTATATTTAATATGAGAAAACATTATTTTATTTCGAGGATAATATTTGTATTCATTTTATTTTAACAGTGTGAATTGTGAAGTAACGTTTTTAATTGATCTGTAAACTAATCAGACCAAAAATACCAGATCTCACTGTTGGTGTAAAAAAATGAAAAGGTTTTATACGGTACAAACTCAAATCAAGCCAAAGATCACGGGTTTTTGTCAATCCGAGCCAAAAATTATGAGTTCCCTACACCGTCTTAAGGTGACCGAGTCAAGTGGTTCACATTTCACATCCCCAACTAGGGGTGCTCAAAAACCCGATGAACCCGACCAACCCAACCCGATTTAAAAAAAAAAAACACAACCCGAGGTAACCCGATGCATGATCGATAAAAAAATTAGCCAACCCGACCTTATTGGGTTGGAATCGGGTCAGGCCCAAAAAAACCCGACCAACCCGACAACCCGATGAACCCGACCTTAACTTTAGCTTTGAATTGTAGATGACAATCATGACATGACCAACCTCAACGTCAAGAAATCGAAAGCATCGGGGTTGGAAACATCTAAAACTATTGTTGTTGATTGATGTATTATCATTTGGTTTAAACATTTTTATTGTAATATCTAAATATTTGATGAACTTGCATATTATCTTGAATGGTCGGTCGTATTTCAAAGGAAAGTTTCCTTTATTTTTATGTGATTTTATATTGTTTAAACACAACCCGATCAACCCGAACGGGTTGGGTTGGGTTGGGTTGAAAATTTTCAAACCGCCAACATTGGGTTGGGTTGTTAAAACGGCTCCAAACCGATTAACCCGGGCCGTGAGCACCCCTACCTGCAACAATTATACTCTTAAGAAAAGAAGTCGAACTTGCAATATACATAGAAGGAGGAAGCCAATCAAACCAAACGAACCGAATATCTCCTATCTGAAGGTGGGTTCTTATAGAGATATGATGTACGCAAACCTGACTTCTAACTCAAAGCATAAAGCTGTTGTTTCAGTGAGACCATCAATTTTATAGAGCTGACACATTCAAATGATCTCCGATCAGTAGATGTGAGGTGCCAATTAAAAACGAACTCAGTAGTTGTTGACCCATGATACGTTATACTCCATCCATACCAAAATAAATGAAAAGTTAATGCTTGTTGGGTATTTTGGTTTGACACTGCTTCACACCCAAAAAGAAGGGAGCTACGTCTGAGTTAAACTTGAAGATGAAAGTCTTCTTTCGTTTCTCGACAGTGAAGTAAGACCAAGCTCATGAGCTTATTATCTCAGGTCGGAACAAGTTGATAGGATCCCCCTTTTTACKTCCCCATGCCCTCTGTGTGGCGACATGGGGTGAAAAAAAGGAAAGATTTACTGGGCATATATTACCATATATTTCTCTGCAACTATATTCTCAGTAGGGTTGTGCATCAGGCGGGTCGAATAGGATAGGGTAGGTCAACAAATAATCAGATCGGATTTTGGATATGGAAGCCAAACCCCAAATTTTGGGTTTCGGATTACTTTGGGTTGGGGTCGCTCCAGTTCGGGTATAGTTATATGGAAACAGTATATATTCAATCGATTTTAAGAATGAATATGATCGATTGAGAGAATTGATGAAATTAGAAAAGAGTAGGTCCGAGTAAGATTTAGGATTTCCGAGAGATAATAATGTTTATATATCGGGTTTTCGGGCAGGTTGGCTGACCAAAAATCAACCCTAGCCCAAACCCAAATATCCTTCCGAAAGCCAGGTTTTGGATTTCCAAGACAACTGGTTTTTGCACAAACACTTGATTCTCGATTCGGGTTTTACATGCTCCTAATTCTTGAGAATCAATGTGGGTAATGAAAACACTTTTTGGGCCTAAAAGTTGGGCCTAAGTGGGCTTCACATTCATGATGTTGTTTGATGATGAAAAAAACTGATTCGGATACGGTTCTGGACGGTTTTAGACCAAAATGAATCAAAAATTCGATTAAAAAACTTGAGAACTGAATAAAATCCGTTCATGTTTTGATTCCGGTCCACTTTTTTTTTTGTTCAAGTGAGGTATACCTCTAAACGGAACTGATAATTTCTATCAAGAAAAGATTGGACCTTTTCATTCAGATACGTCTTTTTCACCTTACGAGTTCTAAATCACTGTATACTTGATTTTTTGTTTAGAGAAAACGATTGTTTTTTACTGGGTACAGATTTAATAATATAATATAAGTACCATTTAAATGCAACTATTCATGAATACACTCTTACAAGTTACAATCAATGACCAAGACATTACATGACCATGTAACCATGCATCAATAGTACCATTTTTTTCGTCAATTATCTTTTCACACATTAAATATCAGATAAATCATATCTGGTTTTGAAATATATAAAAGGGTCGTTTTCTTGAGAATAAAGGGTGTTGATGGTTTTGTTACTGATGTCGGATACTGAAATTGTTGCTCGAGAGGAAAGCATTTTCTTGAAAATAGGATAAAATCGAGCAAAGCATGAAATACAAACGAAAGAGATGGAAATCAATCTGGTTTTAAAAATCAATAAACAAAAGTATATGCAAAAATCACAAGATATAATACGAGTTTATCTGTATTTATAAGAAAAACCGTTTTAATCTGGTTGTAAAGTCAACTAACTGTTTTTTTATAATTTTTGAAATTACAGTAACCACTTCAAAAAGACGCATCTAACACACTCTTATTTTAGTAGTTGAATCTTTCTTATGATAATTTGACGTCTTCGGTTTAAATTCTTCACATGGGTTTTGCTCACTGAATCCCAATTGTATTTCAGTGGACAACCGACCAAATCTCACCATATCGCATAGATATCCTAGACATTTTCAAAGAAAACGACATGTCCAATCAAACAACTTAACAAAAAGAAGTAAATCGAAATACATATTGAATCCAGACAAAAACCGAAGCAATCGCTGAATAGACAAATCCAAAGACTCGAACACTTCGAATAATCAACATCTTATTGTTCAATATCTGGTTTGAGTTACTGACACTGCTAAAACTTTCTTATGATAGCGTATGAACTTATTTAAATTTCACACTAATTAAACTTTGTCTCGGTAAATCACCAATAATACATCAATGGACAACCGGCCGAAATCCCATCTGGGTTTTGCTTAATAAATCATCAACGACACATCAACAGACAATCAACTAAAATCTCATCTGGGATTTGCTTAATAAATCACCAATGACACATCTCTAAACATCCAGCTAAAAACTCGGTTTTGCTTAATAAATCATCAACAGTACGTCAACAAACAACCGACCAAAATCTTTACTGGGTTTTGCTAAAAAAGTATCACCAACGTTACACCCACAGACAACCGAACAGAATCTCATCTTTTGCTTAATGAATCACTAACGATACATCATTAAACAGCTGGCCAACATCCCATCTTCTTAACATTGAATTGAAAAGAAATTACCCGTCTAATCAGACGTCTTAACGGAAAAGAAAACCGTGTTATACATTGAATACATATGAAATTCCAAGAA